AATCATGCTGAGGACCTATAAAATGCCTAGAGAGAACATATTTTTTTTGGCTGTGGGTAAGTAAAACTGGGATGCTGGTCCCATGGATATGGGGTGTGTGTGTCATACTCTGCTTGATAGCTATTAAAATCCCTGTGGATTCTAGGGCTTAAATCCAATGGCAAGCCCCAAGTAGGATATAGTCCCGTGGTGGCAAACCTATGGCACACATGCCAGAGATGACACATGAAGCCATTTTTACTGGCACATGGAGGTCAGGGAAGAGGAGCAAAGCAAGCAAAGCAGCTTCATTTATATACTGCTTCATATCATGCTATGGGATGTCTAAGCAGTTTACAACTGTAAGCTCATTGCCCCCCAACAGCTGGGTACTCATTTTAGTGACCTCAGAAGGATGCAGGCCTGAGTCTAGCCTGAGCCCTGGCTAGTACTGAACTCGCAACCTTGTGGTCTATGAGTGAGTGGCTGCAGTATGGGCATTTAACCACTGCGCTACCAGGTGCATGTCTGTTCCTCCTTTTCCCTCCTCCCCCCCAGCCCTTCACCTGTCTCTGGAGAGGCAGGTGAAGACCTGAGAGGGTGGGGGAAAGACATCCAAGAAGTCCCCCCCCCAAAAGCAGAAGTGCCACCCCCAGGAGGGCAGGAGTCCCACCCTGGAAATCCCATTCTCCTTCCCTCCTGGAAGTTCCACCTCCCCAGCACCGGGTAACACCTGGTGTCAGGATGTCTTTTAGTTTGGGCACTTGGCCCCTAAAAGGTTTGCCATCACTGATATAATCATTGATTCAACTGCTGAATGGTCAATCAACATTCATGTCAATTCCATTCATTGTGGTTCTGCTCTAGGGAGGATGAAAAATTAATGCAAACATTAAATTAAGGATCTGTCAGCAGCAAAGGTACAACTTCAGGGTGCACAGGGATGAGGGATGCATGATGGATGAGGAATTGGAGAAAATCACTATCATTTGAAGAGCTGTAGCTAAAAGAGAGTTCTGTGTTCCATGAAATCCTTGGGATCTCTAGGTACTTCTCAAAAGCACTTCTCACTATATCAGGGGTTATCACCGTGTGACCTCTGGATGGCATGAGGCCTCTGGGGCTCACTTTTGTGAGTCCCAGGGGCCTCATGTGGCCCCAGTCACACATAGCGGTAATGGATTGGATGAGGAAAAACAGATTGAAGTTGAATCC